ATCAATCGCCTCAACCTCTCCACCCCTCTCACCCACTCCAACCTCTCCCTCACAGAACATGCAGCCCTCCACCGACCACCAAACCATCATCTCCCAAACCATCCACAACCTCATCACTTCAGGTGACTTCCCACCCACAGCCTCCAACCTCATCGTTCCCCAACCCCGCACCGCCTGCTTCTATCTCCTTCCCAAAATCCACAAACCTGACTGCCCTGGTCGACCCGTTGTCTCCGCCCGCTCCTGCCCCACTGAACTTATCTCCACTTATCTCGACTCCATTTTCTCCCCCTTGGTCCAGGAACTCCCTACCTACGTCTGTGACACCACCCACACCCTCCACCTCCTCCAGAACTTCCAGTTCCCCGGTCCCCAACACCTCATCTTTACCATGGACATCCAGTCCCTATACACCTGCATTCCCCATACAGATGGCCTAAAGGCCGTCCGCTTCTTCCTGTCCCGCAGGCCCGACCAGTCCCCCTCCACTGACACCCTCATCCGCTTAGCCGAACTCGTCCTCACCCTCAACAACTTCTCTTTCAATTCCTCCCACTTCCTACAGACAAAGGGGGTGGCCATGGGTACCCGCATGGGCCCAAGCTATGCCTGCCTCTTCGTAGGTTACGTGGAACAATCCCTCTTCCGTACCTACACTGGCCCTAAACCCCACCTCTTCCTCCATTACATTGATGACTGTATCGGCGCCGCCTCGTGCACCCACGAGGAGCTTGAACAGTTCATCCACTTCACCAACACCTTCCACCGCAACCTTAAGTTCACCTGGACATCTCTAATACCTCTGTCTCCTTCCTGGACCTCTCTGTCTCCATCTCCGGCAACACCTAGAAACCGATATCCATTTCAAGCCCACCGACTCCCACAGCTACCTAGAATACACCTCCTCCCACCCACCTGCAAAAATGCCATCCCCTATTCCCAATTCCTTCGCCTCCGCCGCATCTGCTCCCAGGCATTCCACTCCCGTACATCTCAGATGTCCTCATTTTTCAAGGACCGCAACTTCCCCCCTCAGTGGTCGAGAACACCCTCGACCGTGTCTCCCGCATTTCCCGCAACTCATCCCTCACACCCCCTCCCCGCAATAACAACCCAAACAGAATCCCCCTTGTCCTCACGTACCACCCCACCAACCTCCGGATCCAACGCATCATCCTCCGACACTTCCGCCATCTGCAATCTGACCCCACCACCAAAGACATTTTTCCCTCCCCACCCTTATCTGCTTTCCGGAGGGACCACTCTCTCCGTGACTCCCTTGTTTGCTCCACACTCCCCTCCAGCCCCACCTCACCTGGCACTTTTCCCTGCAACCGCAGGAAGTGCTACACCTGCCCCTACACCTCCCCCCTCACCCCCATCCCAGGCCCCAAGAAGACTTTCCACATCAAGCAGATGTTCACCCGCACATCTGCTAATGTGGTATACTGCATCTGCTGTTCCCATTGTGGCCTCCTCTACATTGGGGAAACCAAGCAGAGGCTTGGGGACCACGTTGCAGAACACATACGCTCGGTTCGCACTAAACAACTGCACCCCCCAGTCGCGAACCATTTCATACATAAGAACATAACAGCTAGGAGCAGCAGTAGGCCATCCGGCTCTTCGAGCCTGCTCCGCCATTCAATAAGATCATGGCTGATCTTTTCGTGGACTCAGACCCGCGTTCTCACCGTATCCCTTAATTCCTTTATTGTTCAAAAAAAATCTACCTTATCTTTAAAAACGTTTACTGAATTAGCGTCAACTACTTCACTGGGCAAGGAATTCCATAGATTAACAATCCTCTGGGTGAAGAAGTTCCTTCTCAATTCAGTCCTAAATCTGCTCCCTCTAATCTTGAGGCAGTGCCCTCTTGTCATAGCTTCACCTGGCACCTTCAACTCCCCCTCCCATTCCGCAGACGACATGTCCATCCTGGGCCTCCTGCAGTGTCACAACGCTGCTACCCGAAGGTTGCAGGAACAGCAACTCATATTCCGCTTAGGAACCCTGTCCCAATGATCCGTGCCTCTGTTCAGTCATATGAAGACCCACCGCAGAAACCCACGACTCTGAGTAGATATCATCTTCGAATCGAGGGACAGCGATGATGAAAAAAGGCAATGCGTAACAGTCGATGTACGGCAATTCTGGACTACGATACAGGAGGACAGAATGTTGCCGATTTCTATCCTGGGCTGACAGAGATGAATTTTGGAAAGTCCTCTTACAAGGGGTTAAAAGAGGTGGATTTTCACATAGCAAAGTCAAACCGAGAGAAATATTTATTCTTCAGAAGTTCTATCCGGTCCCAGCAGTTATGGATTTTACAACCTTATTTTGCAGATTATTAGAAGAAGATTTTCAAACAGGAATCTCAGCCGTCTATTTTTCACTATTCTCTTTCAATTTAAAGCTTTCAGTGCTATGTCTCTGAGATGTTCCATGTCTCTGAGGTTGATGTAACTCCTTTACCGCGGATCTGAATCACGTCTGGCCATTGCTTTGTTGCATCTCCGCTCTCTCCGATCACTTCTCTGTCATTGTCTAATGCCCTCTATTGTTGATAATAAGCTTATTTTAGTTCTCTTTACTATTTTACTGTTACTTGAGGTTTCCAGTGCTGCCCCATTTTCCAACCATGTGCTGCTAGGTTACCAGCTTCATCTTCAAAACATATGTTTTACTCAGGAATTGTTTATCCTGCGCTATCGTCTATTTTTCTTCTACTTCTGAGCTTGTATGAATCATCAAATTCTTCAACATGGTTATTCCCCGCTCACACCAAAATGCTAACTTTGTTTCTCTCTACACTAAAACTGCCTAACCTGCTCAGTATTTATATCAGTTTCTTTTTTTATTTCAGGTATCCAGGAGCTGCATTTTTGCTCTAATATGCTTTTATTATTCTGGGCATTGCTTACAGAAGTCTTGGCCTCCACTGTTATCCCTTTTTCATTATGATCACTCGGTGATGCTATGACTCAATACAGAAGGAGGCTATTTAGCCCATTGTGCCCATTCTGGCTGTCTGCAAGAGTGAATCAACTTGTTTCACTTCCAAATTTCCTTCCTTTTATGAACAAATTCTGTACACATAGTGAATCCTAGTAGCCTGCAGAGAAGCTGATGTTTGACCTTCTTGAAGCACTGCAATATGTGTGCTGTGTTATGCCCCAAGGTAGAGAGTCCACTGTCTTTCTGGTCCCACCACTCCACTGATCACATTTATCCACTACCCAATATCACCAAGCAGATTTGTTTTCTAAATAGCAGAACTATTGCTTTATTGTAAAACAATATTTATTCAACAATGTTACAAGACTGATTCTTACACCATTTCAAATATGAAAATATAAACAGTTACCTATCTAAATAACCCAATATCTACCAGATAAATTGTAACAAAGAAGCTTTCTCTGCAGTTAGATTAAATTTGGACAATAATTGCTAGTTCTTAAAAGTTAAAAAAAGATAAAGAATGAAATGTTCAAGATTGCTTTGTATCAGTGTTTTGGCCTTTTTAGATGGGTGTTACTAAGTACAGACAGTTGTCACTGGGACATTTGTAAATGCAGTTCATTCAGGAAGCATTGAGAATACCTCTTTTAGCCGGAGTCTCAAAAAGGGTTTTCTTAGAAAGACTGAGGATGAACTGAGAGCTTCTCTCTGAGCAGGCTGTATCCCAACAGACCTCCACACAATCCAAACAAAAGCTAACTCCCAACAGCCATAAACCCAGGCATGTGATTTCCAGTAAACAAATGCAAACAATTAGTTTGAGACTTGTGACTTCTAAGACGTATTGAAGAAAAAAATGTTCTGTATTAGTGACCCCATTTTTAAAAAAATGCTCCAGGTATTTTAACTCTTTTCATGTTTTTTTCACTCTCAACAATCCTCAAAAAATATTACGAATGAAGTGTCTTCATAAAATGTGCAGGTGCTCCCATGATGCTGTTTAAATAAGGAGTTCCAGGATTTTCACCCAGCAACAAATAATGAACAATGGTGCATGGACAAATTAATAATTTTATATTTAAATGCACATTTTGTGAAAAAGAACATCACAAGCTTCTTCACACGAGTTTTATGAAGTAACATTGACACCATGAGGGGATATTGGGTTAGGTGGCCAAAAAGTCAAGTCAAGAGATAGCTGTTAAATAGTATCTTAAAGGAGAAAAGTGAGACAGAGAGAATTAGTCTCAACAGCTGAATTAGTGGTCTTGACAGCTGAAGGCAGAACCACTCCAGGTGGAACAATTAAACTCGGGAAAGCTTTGGAGACCAGAATTAGAGGAAGACAAATGAATCCAAGTTTATTATAAGGGAGTTGATAAATGGGAGCTCACCTTGGGATGAAATATAACATTGTGCTTGTGAACAGACTGGTTCAGACTTATTTACCAAGGAGAGAGATGCAGTCAGTGGCAACGGAGTGGAATTGAGAGCCGGGATTGAAGGTAATAGCTTTAGTCCTCCCAGAATTTAAATGAAAGACAATTCTGCTCATCCATTACTGAATATTAGATAAATCAGAATGATGTGAGACTTGGAGGTGATGCTGTCTGTCATGGTCCGAATAGATTGTCGTGGTTGAGGGTTCGGGAGATTCTGTCATATTTTGGTCAAGTAGTAGATATATTAAATTTCTCTCTTTCTGCTCTTCCTCTCTAGCTGTGCCTCCTCCTGTAGACTTATATGATCTGGCAGATTTTGTAACTGACCCAGTTTTGTTTTTATGACAATCTGGCAGCTTTTGCAGTTACTTTTCCCTTGTGCCAACCCAGCAAAAGACCTGACTCATTCAGCTCAGTTTCACAAACTGCTTTATCTTTTTTTTGGGTTTTCTCTCACTTTTTTATCTCTTTCCATCAATTTGACAGGATTTAAAACAGGAGTATTTGCAGTCAGGAATTCCATGCAAGACATCAGGCTGGGATCTGATGGAGTCTCCCAATTAATCGTAATCTGAATATCCTCACAGTTTGAACATGAAAGGAAAAGGCACCGTTCACAGTGGGGAGAAACTGTACACATGTTCTGCGTGTGGACAAGACTTCAGCCAATCATCTGGCCTGTCAAGACACAAACGCAGTCACGACGGGGTGAAACCATGGAAATGTGGGGACTGTGGGGAGGGATTTGGTTACCCGTCTGAGCTGGAAGCTCACCAGCGCCGCCACACAGGGGAGAGGCCGTTCACCTGTCTGGAGTGTGGGAGGGAATTCACTGATTCATCCACCCTGTTGAGACACCAGCAGGTTCATTCTGCGGAGAGACCTTTTAAATGTCCAGACTGTGTAAAGTGCTATAAAAATTCCCGGGAACTCATCCGCCATCAGCGAGTTCACACGGGCGAAAAACCTTTTAAATGCTCAGAGTGTGGGAAGTGCCATAAAAGCTCTGGAGATGTGTTGCGACATCAACGTGTTCACACTGACGAGAGACCATTCAGATGCTCTCACTGTGGGACTGGGTTCAGGCGATCATCTGAACTCACTGCACACCAACGCACTCACGGGAGAGAGGCCATTTACATGGACCAAATGTGGGAAGAGATTTGCTCAGCTCTCCACTTCTCTGAAACACCAGCAAGTTCACACTGGGGAGAGGCCGTTCAGCTGCTCAGAGTGTGGCAAGGAATTTACTTGGTCATCTGACCTACTGAAACACCAGCGTGTTCACACTAGGGAGAGACCATTCATCTGCACAAAGTGTGGGAAGGGATTCACTCAGTCATCCAACCTGCTGGCGCACCAGCAAGTTCACACTGGAGAGAGGCCATTCACCTGCTCTAAGTGTGGGAAGGCATTCACTCGGTCATCTCACCTGCTGGTACACCAGCAAGGTCACATGTAATCACAGACAGCAAGAACTGCAGATGCTGGAGTCAGAGTCAATATAGTGCGGAGCTGCAGGAACACAGCAGGTCAGGAAGCATCAGGGGAACAGGAAAGTCAACGTTTTGGTTCAGGACCCTTCAAGTTCTGAAGAAGGGTCCTGACCCGAAACGTCAACTTTCCTGTTCCTCTGATGCTGCCTGACCTGCTGTGTTCCTCCAGCTCCACAATATGTTGACTCAGGCCACAAGTAATGACAGTGACTGTTATAGCTACCAATCCAATTCAGGGGGAACCATGTTCATTGGGATCTGGTTCTGCTGTTGTTGATACTACTCCAGCGTGTTACAGATGTAAATATTATGGATAAAAGTCAAATAAATCAACTTTGTGTTGTGGTGTTTCCAGCGTGTTACAGATGTAAATATTATGGATAAAAGTCAAATAAATCAACTTTGTGTTGTGGTGTTCTGAATCTTTTTCCTGTCTCTATCAATAGTTAGTGAGAAGAGCTCACTGAGCATCTTTGTCACAAAGACTGGGACAGACCAATCAGCTGCTTTCTCATTTCCACTCACCACTGAGTCAAACTGTCTCAAATTCCTTGCCTGAGCCTTAGCCTCACATCTTTCTGCAGTTTCTCTCCAGTGTTGTCATCCCCTGTTGAAGCTCATCTTACCAATGAGATGCATCTCCTTGCCCCTTGACCCTATACCCAGATGACCTTTCAACCACACTACGTTAGCTGATGTTGATGATTCTGTCACCTTGAATATTGTCACTGTCCCATTTAAATTCACTGAAACGGGTGGGAGGGTGAACTGTGATGAGGATACAGAGATCCTTCAGCATGATCTTGACAGGTTGGGTGAGTGGGCAAATCAATAGCAGATGCAGTATAATTTGGATAAATGTGAGGTTATTCACTTCAGAAGCAAAAACAAGAAGGCAGATTACTACCTGATTGGCTGGAAATTGAGAGAGGGGAGTGTGCAGTGGGACCTGGGCATCCTTGTGCACCAGTCACTAAAGGTAAAAATGCAGGTGCAGAGGCGGTAAGGATGGCAAATGATATGTTGGCCCTTCATTGTGAGAGGTTTCGAGCACAGAAGCAGGATGTGTTGTTGCAGTTGTACAGGGCCTTGGTGAGACCACACTGGAATATTCTGTGCACTTTTGGTCTCCTTTTCTGAGGATGGATGCTCTTGCTTTTGATGGTTTACCACGATGATCCCAGGGATGGCAAGTCTGACATATGAGGAGAGATTGACTAGGTTGGGATTGTTTTTGCTGGAGTTCAGATGAATAAGGGGGTATCTCATAGAGACTTATAAAATTCTAACAGAACTGGACAGGGTTGATGCAGGGAGGATGTTCCTGATGGTGGGTGTGTCCAGAACCAGGGGTCACAGTCTGAGGATTTGGGGTAGACAATTTAGGAAAGAGATGAGGAGACGTTTCTTCACCCAAAGAAGTAATTGATGCCAAAACATTGAATGTATTCAAGAAGTGACCAGATATAGCACTTGGGGCAAATGGGATCAAAGGTTATGGGAAGTATGCAGGATTAGGCTATTGAGTTGAATGACCAGCCATGATCATGAAGAATGGCGGAGCAATCGCGAAGGGCCGAATGGCCTCCTCCTGCTACTACCTTCTATGTATGTTTCTATGTAAATTGTATGCCCTCAAAAGACACTTGAGTCCACCATCATTACTGCTCAAGCTCAAACCACCCTTACCTCTCCAAAGTGTTGTAACTTGGTAATAACCCAATGTTCCACACCAAAGATCCATTGTTGGCCCTTCCTATTTCTCATCTGTACACAGCCACTGAACATTATCAAAAAGCACTGTGTTAGTTTTCACACACACACTGACAACTGACATCTGTTTCTCCACTGTTGCTAGATGTTATTTTGCTTATCCAACATCCACTGCTCAAGCAGAAATTCCCACTAATTAAAAGTTGGAAAGATCAAATTCATTATCTTTGGTCACCATCACAAACTCTGTTCCCTGAATACTGAGGCAATCCTTGTCATAGAGTCATTCAGCACAGTAAAACCACCCCCCCCCCCCCCAGCTTAATAATATCCTTTTTATAACAGGGAGACCAGAACTGGACACAATAGTCCAGAAGAGGCCTCACTAACATCCTGTACTACCTCAGCATAACATCTCAGCTCTTATACTCAAAGGAGTGAGCAATGAAGGCAAGAATGTTAAATGCCTAACCACCCTATCTATATGTGATGCAAACTTTAAAGAATTATATACCTGAATCTCTTGGTCTTTCTGTTCTACAACACTACCTGAGGCCTTACCTTAAATTGTATGTCTTGTTTTTGTCTTATCAAAATGTAATATCTCACATCTATCCAAATTAAACTCCATCAGCCACTCTTCAGCCCATTGACCCAATTGATCGAGTTCTCTTTGTAATCTCAGATAACCTTCTTCACTGTCCACAATACCACCAATCTTGGTGTCATTCCCAAAATTACTATCTATGCTTTCTATATACTAATTTAAATGATTTACATAAATGGCAAACAAAAGTGGACCCAGCACAGATCCCTGTGGAACACTGCTGGTCAGAGGCTTCCAACCTGAAAACAGCCCTTCACCATTACTCTCTGTCTCCTGCTGTTAAGCCAATTTTGTATCCAATTGGCAAGGTCTCCCTGAATCCCATCTAAACTAACTTTACCAATTATTCTACCATGCCAAACTTTGTCAAAGACTTTATTAAAGTCCAAGTAAACCATGTCTACTTCTCTGCTCTCAACTATTTTCAAAAAACTCAGATCAAGTTTGTGAGACATGATTTCCCTTGCACAACCATGCTGACTATCCCTAAGTATTCCTTGACTCTCCAAATGCATATAAATCCTATCTTTCAGAATCACTTCTAACAACTTACCCACCACTGAAGTCAGATTCATAGATTCCCTACAGTGTGGAAGCAGGCCATTGGGGCCCATGAAGTCCACACCAACACTCAAAGGGCATCCCACCTAGACCCAACTTCTATGGCCGAGGCTAGAATTGAATCCAGGTCCCTGGCACTGTGAGATAGCAGTGCTAACCATTGAGCCACCATGCTGCCTCAAGTCTATAATTCTGAGGCATCTCGATTTGATTTGACTTGATTTGATTTGATTTATTGTTGTCACGTTCCTGAGTACAGTGAAAAGTTTTGCGAGCAGTACAGGCAGATCATAACAGACAAGGACATACAGATCATAGGGTGTTTAGACAGAGTGAGGCATACAGGTTACAGCTGCAAAGGAGGTGCACAAAAACAATATTCACATTAGATTTGAAATTAGAGAAGCCCATTCAGCAGTTTAATAACAGCAGGGAAGAAGCTGCTTCTGTACCTTCTGCCTTGTAGAAGAGGTTGAAGAGTATTACTGGGGCAGGAAGGGTCTCTGATAATATTAGCAGCCTTTCTGTGGCAATGAGAAGTGTAGATGGAGTCTGTGGATGGGAGGTTGGCTTTCGTGATGGTCTGGGCTGTGTACACAACGTTCTGTACTTTCTTCTTGTCCAGGGCAGAGCAGTTGCCATACCAAACCATTATGCACCTGGATAGAATTTTTACTATGTTCCATCTGTAAAAGTTGGTGAGGGTCCTTATTGACATGTCAAATTTCCTAAGCCTTCTGAGGAAGAACAGCTATTGTTGTGCCTTCTTGGCTGTCGCATCTACGTGGTAGGTCCAGGACAGATTGTTGGTTATCATCACTCCTCGGAACTGGACACTCTTGACCATCTCTACCTCAACTCCATTGATGTAGATAGGGGCGTGTCCCCTCCTCTTTGCTTCCTGAAGTCAATGATCAGTTCTTTTGTTTTGCTGACATTGTGAGAGAGATTGTTATCATTGCATTACAACACCAAATACTCTATCTCCTTCCTGTATTCTGACTCAACATTGTTTGATATCTGGCCTACAATGGTGATGTTGGCAGTGAACTTGCAGATGGTGTTCATACAAAATTTGGTCACACAGTCATAAGTGCACAGGGAGTACAGTAGGGGGCTGAGTGCGCATCCTTGAGGGATGCTGGTGTTGAGGATTATCATGGAGAATGTACTGTTGTCTATGTTAACTGATTGCTGTCTGTGGGTCAGGAAGCTGAGGATCCAGTTGCAGTGTGCAGAGCCAAGACCTAGGTCTTGGAGTTTTGTGATTGGTTTGGTTGGGATTATAGTGTTGAAGGTGGAGCTAGAAGTAGGAGCCTGACGCAGGTATTCTTATTGTCACGATGTTCCAGGGATGAGTGTAGGGCTAGGGAAATAGCATCCACTGAGGACCTGTTTCACCTGTAGGCAAATTGCAAGGGATTGAGGCAGGCTGGAAGGCTAGAGTTGTAGTTGTAGAGTTGCCACGACCAACCTCTCAAAGAACTTCATGGTTATGAAGGTCAGAGTTGTTGAGGCATGTTGCACGCGTATTCAGTGGTACTGGGATGATGGTGGTCTTCTTGAAGCAGGTGGGGACTTCAGATTGTAACAAGGAGAGGTTAAAAATGTCAGTTGAACACTTCTGCCAACTGGTCTGTGCAGCTGGGGCCTCCGTCTGGGCCAGTCACTTTTCTTGGGTTTACTCTCTAGAAGGCCAATTTGATGTTTGCAGCGGTGACTGAGAGAATAGGTGCATCTGGGGCTGTTGGGGCAGATGACACTGCGCTACTGGTATTCTGGTCGAATCGAGCATAAAAAGCATTGAGCGCATCAGGGAGTGATGTGATTTTGTCCAATATTTTGTTCTGCTTCATTTTGTATCCTATTATGTCGCGTAGGTTTTGCCATAGGTGGCAAGTGTCCATGTGGTTAGTTTGGGCCTCTAACTTGGTCCAGTACTACTCTTGGCATCTCCTTACATCCTTTCTTTTGCACTCTCCAGTCATTTGTCACCTCACCCCTATTATAGATGACACAACTATTTCTTCACCTAACTTCCCACAAAATCCTGGGATACACTGGATCAGCTCCTGGAGATTTATCCACGTTTATATTTTCTGAGACTTCCAGCACTTTCTCTTCTGTAATGTGAACTGTTTTCAAAACAGTTATAATAACAGCCGTTGATACTCTGAACAACATACTATCTATCTAGCCAACTGAGTTAATTGGGTCACTGTGCTTGTTAAGACACCTCTTAAAACCTGCTTGTGAAGCCAAGCTTTTAGCCATGTGTCTTAACATCTCCTTCTGTGACTTCATGTTATATTTGGTTTTATAATGCATTTGTGAAGCACCTCAGCACATTTCATTTTAAAATACAGTTGTTGTTAAATGAAAAACACATCCTCCACTCCTAATTGCACTTTCACTAAAAAAAGAAAATGGACAGATTTGAGGGAGGTTGGAATTTATTTCAAATTTTTAGCTTTTAAATCTCCCACTCAAACCAAACTCATCTATTTAGTGGTATTAAAATTTTACCCATAATAAATCTAAAATATACTTCTAGTTCACAACCATAATGTACATTCTAATATATATCTAGGCTTCAAACATTTTCAAACTGATGAACATTGGGCCTGGAGGAAACCTTAATAAACTGCCTAAAAATGCAAAGCATTACTCCTGGTATTATACAGTATGGGTCAATTTAAAAAGCCAAAATACTTTTTTTTTCAATAAATTCAAATCTTCCTTTTTTTTTACCATTAGTAGACCAGGATTATTCTTACAGTGTAGAAAGAATAAATGAGGTAGAATGGATAATTGACTTAATTGCCATAGGTTAATTATTTGACTGAAAACTGTTTTCCCAAGCAGCGTATCTTCTGTGGTTTGAGTAGAATAGGATCTATAAAATCTTGATTTCCAGTTTTGTCCTTGGGAACTGTCTGAGATTGAACCTCACTGCTCACATCTTGGTGTCATAACTGACCTGCTACACACCCACACCATCATTAATATTAGATAGTTCAATCTTCAATATGCCACTTATCTCCAAACCACCCCAGCTCTTGCCCAGTTACCGAAACCTTCATCCATGCCCATGTGACAGTCAGGCTTTATATTTGTTCATGGAATCTAAACATCAGTGGCTCAGCCAATATTTATTGACAATCTCATTGTCTAGAGGACAGTTAACATCTGTGGATTTGGAGTTACACATAGCCAGACTAGGTATGGATAGCTGATTATCTTCCCTGAAGGGAATTCATGAACCAGATTATAACAGCTCCACTGCATATTTGAATCATTTTCACATGCGATGAAGATTTCTGCCATTATCACCTATTCAGACAGCAAACCCCAGATCCTGAACACACACTGGGTGAAAATGTTACCAATTACCCCCTACTCTTTCCATCAATTGCTTTAAAACTATCTTTTTGGTTATTGACTTCTCTGTTAATGAAATAGAGTGGATAGGAAGAATCTATTTGGCCTCTCATAACTTTATTTACCTCAATTAAATCTCCCCTCACTCTCCTCTGTTGTAAGAAACATAGCTGCATCCCATCCAAAACTTTTATCACTAGAATTCTCCAGTCAATGCAACCTCCTTGTAGATCTCTTCTGTACTGTCTCCATTATGATTACATCCTTACTGTAATGCAGTGCCTGGAACTATACGAAGTCCTTTGGCTATGGTCTAGCACGTGTTGATTCTAGTTCTAGGTTAATTGCGTTCTTGTCTTTCATTAACTTCAGCGTAATAGAAACTGACATTAGGAACCTGTTCGTCTGAGAAAGGTATTGTTAGATAACTTTCTCCAGTGAATATTGACCTGGACGACTGGACCATGATGTGTTTCCTTGTTCACCTTATTGACTTTGAATTTTGAATCTGTGCTTTCAGACATCACATAATCAAGCTCCAAACAAATTTTGTCACTTTAATAACTTTATTAACAGCACTGCAATAATACAGACAGAGGATAGTTACCCAACATGGAGAACAGGATAGTAGATTCCTTTCTGTTGGAATTCATCCAAATGATTTTGTCATCTTTTGTAGGTGCCCTTGTGATTGAAGAGCTCTATGTGAAACCAGCCTGAACATCCACAGAGCTGACAGTTCATGTTGTTGTAAGTGGTACTAGGGAAACCTCTGCACAGTTATATTGTTCATACTGACCTCCCTGATGTATTTTACTCCAAGACTGTTACCCATTGAATGACTGCTTGGGAATGCTGTAATTGGCTATGCAGGTGAACCCAGCACAATGGAGAACCTCACTGTTTATAATTTTGCCATCAAATTCTCATGATGATCCTCAGCTGTCTTTGGTGGAAGTGTTCCAGAGATTTGACGTGGTCCTTTAGCAGGACTCTATCCTCCCCAACCTGCTGTCTGGAGCAATGTCCTGATGGAGTTTGGTGTTCATTTTCAGCTTAATGTCATGCAGCTTCCAGACACAAGTAGAAGTAACACTGTTTGCATTTAGAGCTCAATTACATAGGATATATCTGGTCCAACCAGTTCACGGTGGTGCATAAGATCCATTCATCTTTCCTCATCTAAATCTACCATTGTAACTCTCTATTCTCTTTTCTCCTCTTGCGCTTATCCAGCTTCTCTTTAAACACATCTAAACTATCTAACTACACTGTGGTAGTCAGCTTCACATTCTCCACTCTCTGGAGCAAAATGTTTCTTCTTAATTCTCCACGGAACTTCTTGGTGATCATTTTATATTGATGGTCTCTCATTATACTCTCCTTCAAAACAGGAGGGATTCTCCCTGCATCCTCTTTGACAAAACCTTTATTCTAATTCTAGATCACCCCTTCAGCTTTCGTTTCTTAAGAGAAAAGTGACCCAACTTTTCAATCAATCTTTTCCTGATCTGTACACACATACATTTCTGGAATCATCCTTCTCGATCTTCTTTACATACTCGAGTGATTCTCTGTACTTTTTCCATAACATAACCACCAGAACTGCAAGCAGTCCTCCAAGTCAGATATAAATAAGGTTTGCAACAATTTGGGATAATTTCACTACTTTGCATTTCTACAACTCTTGACATAGGATGCGAGCCTCATTAACATCCACCCACATTTCAGAACAGTGAAGGTTCCACTGAGACAAAAGTTCAGACATTGCCCACTACAGACAAACAAAGAGCAGTATAGGAGTAAACTAGCAGCTTTAACAGTATCAACAACCTGCAGGTCTCTGTTCAATACACTGAATGGATTTACATTGAAACCAGGTTTAAACAGTGGGAGAGATTGTTGGCAGATGGGCTGGCACCAGGGAGACAAGAGATTCTTGCTTTGTGGAGTTGTGAACTGTTGTGGACCTGGGAAGCTGAACATCTTGTGGGTGGGAATGATACTGGCAGAAGACTTTGGACCTATGGCAGGAGAAGTGGTGTGTCTTTCTTTCCAGTAAAATACTTAAAGCTTGAATAAAGCCAGTAGAATTTTCCTTTATCAATTGGTGCAAGATGTTTATCGGTAACAAAGAGACTTCATAGATAATGGGTCAATTGCCTGTATGCTTTTTCTCCTTTGCCTTAGAATGTAGGAGCTTTTTAGAAAGGCATTTTAGAGTTTTGACTTGTAGATTATATATTCACAGATTATAGCTGTTTACCTATGGTTAGAATCTATTTGTAATAAATGGTTGATCTTGTTAAGTACAGAAGCCTGGTCTATGTTTTCTGCTAGTCTGGGTCTTTTGGACAATAATTGGGAACATTGCACTCGTTGATAAATTTAGACCTTCTGTGATGACTCCAGGAATAGCAGGACAATTTCCAGTGTACAATTTCCAATGAGACGTCACAATACCGATGTTAGGAGAGACATTCTGGGAGCTACTGGGAGCTGGAGTAACTGAAATAATCTACCATTCAAAAGGAAAAGGATTCAGTCCTTGATCTGTTTCACAGCAGCAAGAACAGAATCCAGCTCTGCCTCAAACACGTGAATTTGCTTGTGTTTCAGCAGGCTGGATGGCCGGGTAAATCTCTGATTGCACAAAGAGCAAGTGAGCTGACTCTCCCTGGCGTGAACTCTTTGGTGTCTATGCAGGTGGGATGAATCAGTAAATCCCTTCCCGCACACAGAGCATTTGAATGGCCGCTCTCCAGTGTGACTACGCTGGTGTCTCACAAGATGGGACGAATAAACAAACCCCTGACCACACACGGGACAGGTGAATGGCCTCAGCCCAGTATGAACTCGCTCGTGTATTTTAAGGTAAGGCAAACGAGGGAAACGCTTCCCACACACAGAGCAGAGGAATGGCTTCTCCCCAGTGTGAACTCGCTGATGTGCTTCGAGCTTAGATAACTGAGCGAATTTCTTCCCACATACAGGGCAGGTGAGCAGCTTCTTCCTGTTGTGAACCTGCTGGTGTCTCACCAGATCGTATAACTGTGTAAATTTCCTTTCACACACAGGGCAGGTGAATGGCTTCTCCCCAGCATGAATGCGTTGGTGTCTCTGCAATCTGGGCAACAGAGTGAATGCCTTCCCACATGTGGAGCAGGTGAACACCCTCTTTTTGGTGTGAACAGGACGGTGTTTCTGCAGGTGGTGGAAGTAAGTAAATCCCTTCCCGCACACGCCACAAACATATGGCTTCGCCCCAGTGTGAACACGCTTGTGTATTAAAAGGTGACACATCCGAGGGAAACTCTTCCCACACACAGAGCAGATGAATGGCCTCTCCCCAGTGTGAACCCGCTGGTGTGTTAGCAGGATAGAATACTGACTGAATTTCTTCCCACAAACAGAGCACGAAAACGGCCTCTCTCTGGTGTGACCATGTTTGTGCATCAGAAGGTAGGTCGAACGAGTGAATCCCTTGCCACAAATGGAGCAAGAAAATGGCCTCTCCCCAATGTGAACACGTTTGTGTGTCGAAAGGTCAGATGCCCGAGTGAATCCCTTCCCACACACAGAGCAGCTGAATGGCCTCTCCCCAGTGTGAATCCGTTTGTGTGTCAGAAGATGGAATGGATGAGTGAATCTCTTCTCACACACAGAGCAGAAAAACAATCTCTCCTTGATGTGCGTGGTCTGATGGTTCAACAGATGAATCTTTCTTTTAAAGGTTTTCTCACATTTAGAACATTTAAAAGGTCTGTTAGCCGAGTGAACCGGTTGGTGGTTAATGCAGTGGGAGGCTTGAGTGAATCTCTTCCCACAGTGGGAGCAGCTGAAAGGCCTGTCCTTGGTGTGAACTTGCTGGTGCTCAGCGAGATGCTCTGGCCCACTGAAAACCTCCCCACAATGAGAGCAGCTGAACGGTCTCTCGTGAATGTGAAGGAGCTGGTGCTCCCCGAGGCGGGAGGACAGACTAAACCTCTTTCCACAGTGGGAGCAACTGAATGGCCTCTCATCAGTGTGATTTTGGATTATTTCCTCAGAGGATTCAAAGCTGTCCCCAGGGTCAGAACGTTGAAGATGCCTTTCAATGTGATCGATTTGGTGTGCCCGCAGGTTGGATGAACAGCTAAAGCTCTTCCCACACACGGAGCAGATGAACAGTCTTTCACTTTTGCGAGCCCGCTGGCGTGTCAGCATGTTTCCCAACTGGGTCAATCCCTTCCAACAGCAGGAGCGGCCTCTCCCAGTTTCCAGCTGAGATGGTCAATCAAGTCCCTTCAGATTTGCAAATCTTCAGGTCCCAATGGATCGAGAGACCTAATGTCTAGGTACGGGGTTTGTTTCGATTTTCCTGATGCAGATTTTCTCTTCCAATATCCTGTAAAAGGATTTGACAAAAAAAATTACACAAAATACACAATACACAGACAGACCATTTGGTCTATCCAGTCCATGTTGGAGTTTCCACTCCAATCAAGTGTCCATTGTGTTTAAGATAACAAGGTGTAGAGCTGGATGAACACAGCAGGCCAAGCAGCATCAGAGGAGCAGGAAAGCGGACGTTTCGGGTCTGGACTAAATGCTCAGGATGTGGTCAAGCAGTTTCAGGGCCGAAGAGATTACAAGAGGGTTGCAGTGGGAGAGAGATCCACTGAGGTCTTTCCAGAGAGAGGAGGATAACTTCTTCAAGGTAGGCATCCTTAGAAGAGTCTTCGCAGTGGGGTTAAAATTGATTCAGATATAGTGGGAACTGCCAATGTTGGAGAATCTGAGATAACAAGGTAGAACACAGCAGCATCAGAGGAGCTGGAAAGCTGACCTTTCGGGTCTGGACCCTTCTTCAGAAATGGGACTGAAGAAGGGTCCAGACCCGAAACATATTCATCCAGCTCTACACCTTGTTATCTCAGATTCTCCAGCATCGGCAGTTCCCACTATCTCTGAATCCATTGTGTTTAAGTCATCTTGGCCTTTCAATACATCTTTCTATTAGATTTTCCTTCATATTCTCATTTGTCTGAATAGCTTCCTGAGATCATGAGTTCCACATTCTAACAACTGATTAAGGAATGAGTCATCTCCTATTTCCCTGTGAAATACATTAACCTTTTTTGCACATTCATAGCCTCTGTATTAGATATAACAAGAAGCGGAAATGTTCCATCTGCATCCAAACCAGAATTTTGAACATATGTACAAGAAGAGACAAACATTTCTCTTGCTTTGAATTTGCTGCGTATAAATGCTCTCCACTTAATATCCTTACGTCTTACTGAAGACTATGAATATTATGGACAAGGACAAAGATGGACAAGAAAGAAAAGTTCTGAATTGGGGGAAGATCGATTTTAGCAAGATGAGATGGGACCAGGCAGAGTGGATTGGGCAGAGCAGTGGGAGACATTCAAAAGGTATTAGTGAGAGTGCAGGGCCAATGTGTTCCTGGAAAGGTGAAGAATGGGAACCAACAATTACAGGAAACCCCAGATGTCAAGGGATGACAGGATCAAATACAGAAAAAAAAGGAATGTTATGGTGAATAATGAAGACTCAAACCAGCAGATGCCTGGAGGGCAGTAGAAAGTGCAGAGGGTTGCTTAAAAAGGAAAATAAGAGAGCAAAGAGGGGACATGAAAATACACCAGCAGATAAAATTAAGGAAAATCCAAAAGCACAGCTGAGGTTCTATATGATACTTTGCATCTGTATTCACTGTAGAGAAGGATGATACAAGCATAAAAATCAGGGATAGGGACTGTGATGTACTTGAACAAGTTAGCATTGAAGGGAGGTAATAGCAGTTTTGGCAGGCTTGGAAGAGAATAAATCCCCAGGCCCAAATGAGGTATCCAAAGCTGCTGCTGTGACAGGCAATGGAGAAAATTTCAAGAACTCTGAGATTAATTTCCAAGAGGGTTAGAAGGCAGCTAATTTGATACCATTATTCAAGAAGGGTGATAGCCATAAACAAGGAAACGACAGGCCAGAAAGTCTAAAATCTGTCAAAAAAAAAAACCGGAGAGACAGAATTAATCTCCATTTAGACAGGTAAGGATTAATCAAAGATAGTCAGCCCTGCTAAGGGGGAATATCGTACTGAAAAATCTGATTGAATTTTTCAAGGACGTGACGAATTGTGTAGGTGAGGGTCATGCCAGTTGACACAGACATACGGATTTCAGTAATGCTTTTGAGAATCTCAATGGCAGACTGATTAAGAATTGAAGAACCCGTGGGATACGTGGCAATTTTGCAAATTGGATACAAAAGTGGCAGGAAGCAGGGGGTGATGGTCAAAGGGTGTTTTGTGACTGGAAGCCTGTGCAACAGAGAGCTTGGTCCCTTTCTCTGTGTTGTGTACATTAATGACCAAGACATAAATTCAGGAGGCATGAATTCATAGAATCTCTACATTGTAGAAACAGGCCATTCGACGCAACAAGTCCACTTCGACTTTCCGAAGAGCATCCCATCCAGACACATCCCCCTATCCTATCCCTCTATTCTGCATGGCTAACCCACACATCCCTGGACACTACAGGCAATTTAGCATGGCCAATCCACCTAACCTGCACATCTTTGGATTGTAGAAAGAAAGCAGAACACCTGGAGAAAACCCATGCAGACACGGAAGAACGTGTAAACTCCACACAGACAGTTAACTAAGGCTGGAATTGAACCAGAGTCCCTTGCGCTGTGAGGCAGCAGTGTTAACCACTGAGCCACCATGCTGCCCCTAAATTCAGAAGTGACAAACGTTTCTCTGGAACAAAAACAGAAACTGCTGGAGAAACTCAGCAGTTCTGGCAGCATCTGTGGAGAGAAAACAAAGTTGATGTTTCAGATCCAGTGACTCCCCCCCACCACCTTCTGTTTTTGCTTCAGATTTCCAGAATCCACAGTTCATTGCTTTTTGAAAGCATTTCTCTATGTTTAAGTTTACAATGTGCAAATGCTCTCCTCCTAAGCTCCTGAAAACAAATTTATAAACCCATTTAACTCAGTCAAGCACAGAAATTTAAAAAAATACAGAAATTGCCAGAAAAACACAGCAGGTCTGACAAGCACAGTCAACATTTCAGATCCAGTGACCTTCTTCAGAACGGACTGTGGCTAGAAAATGATGGTACGCATGCTAGGGAACTTGGGGAAATAAATAGTAATTTCTTGGAGAGTATGGAAGTCTTAAAACGCAGTAAGGTAGATAAATCCCCAGGACCTGGTGAAGTGCATCCCAAGACTTTGTGGGAGGCTAGCCAGGAAATTGCACGGTCCCTAGCAGAGATACTCATATCATTGGGCACTTCACCCATGGCAGTCAAAGATAGAACGGTAGCTAATGTTGTGCCATTATTCAAGAAAGGCTGCAGGGAAATGCCTGGGAACTACAGGCTGGTAAGCTTAAAGTTTGCGGTGGCTAAGTTGTTGGAGGGGATTCTCAGAAACAGGATCTACAAGCATTTGGAGAGGCAAGGACTCATTTGTGATTGTCAGCATGGCTTTGTGCATGGGAAATTGTGTCTAATGAATTTGATTCCATTTTTGGAAGCGGTGGATGAGTGCACTGCAGTAGACATTGTCTATATGGACTTTAACAAGGCACCACGCATGGTTAACAATATCTCATCTGGCTGCACATAAATATGGAGTGAGGGGGGAAACATCTAGTTGTCATAGCCCACATACATACCAACGATGTAGGTAGAAAGAAGACAGAGGTCCTGCTGAGAGAACATGAGTAGCTCGTAACTAAATTAAAAAGCAAATCAAAAATAGGTAATTATCATGTCTGGATTACTGAGCCATGAGCAAACTGGCACAGGATCGAAAAGATTAAACAAGTAAATGCATGGCTTGAAGATTAGTGTGGGGGGAAACAGGTTTGAATCCATAGCACATTGGCACTAGTACGGGGGAAGGAGGAAGCTGTTCCAATAAAATGGGCTCCACTTGAATCATAGTGGGACCGGAGTCTTGGCAAATCACATAACTAGGAATGTGGACAGGGTTTTAAACTAAATAATGGAGTTGTGGGTTCAGTTGCATGGAAGTATGGAAAAAGTTAAAGGGTGGTGGGGGGCTCAGCAGAGGTTATTCAACTTTGCAGAGTAAGTAATAGGAGGTAGAGCATGGAAAGGGTTAGAAAGGGTCTAACTTCAGGCATAGCAGATGAGGGGAAAGCCATGAGAAGGGTACAATCAATGCAGGACTGAGGGTGTTGTACTTAAATGCACGCAGTATATGAAACGAGGCAAATGAGCTTGTAGTGCAGATTGAAATTGGCAGGGACGATGTTGTAGGTTTCACAGAGATGTGGCCACAAAGGGATCAGGGCTGGGAATTAAATATCCAAGGATACATGTCTTACCAAAAGAAAAGGCAGATGGGCAGATGGGCAGAGGGGCCAGTGTTGCCTTGTAAGAAATGAAATTAAATTGATGACAAGAAGTGATATAGTGTTGGAAGGCGTAGAATTCAGGAACTGCAAAATTAAAAAGATCCTGATGGGAGTTTTCCACAGGCCTCCTAGCAGTAGTCAGGATGTGGGGAAGAAAATAAATCAGGAGATTGAAAAGCACTATTACAATAATCATGGGGGCCTTCAGTATGCAAGTGGCCTGGAAAAGTGAGGTAGCTATCCAAAGAAAAGGAATTGATGGAATGTCTTAAGAGATTTATTTTGACAAGCTTGTGCTTGACCCCACTAAGGAACAGGTAATAGTGGATTAGGTGATGTGTAATGAGGCAGACTTGATTAGGAAACTTAAGAAGGAACCCTTAGAGGGCAGAGGCCATAATATGATTGAATTCACTCTGCAATTTGAGAGGAAGAAGATTAAATCAGATGTAATGGCAATACAATTGAATAAAGGTAACTACAAGGAAAAGGGGAGGAGCTGGCCAGAGTTGATTGGAGGTTAGCAGGGGAGACCTTGCAGCAGCAACGACAGGGGTTTCTGGGGGTAGTTTGGGAGGCACGGCAGAAATTCGTCCCAAAGGAGAAGTAACATACCAAAGAGAGGATGAGGCTACCAGAGCTGACAAGGAAAGCACAAAAAAGAAAAAGCATACAATGCAGAGAAGATTAATGAGAAGCCAGAGTATTGGGAGGTCTTTAAAAATCGGCAGAGGATAACCCAAAAGCAATCAGAGGAGTGAAGGTGAAATATGAGAGTAAGCTATTTAATAATATAAAAGATTGAAAGTTTTTTAAAAAGACATTTAAAAGATAAGAGAGGCAAGAGTGGGCATTGAACCACTGGAAAATGAGGCAGGAGAAATAGTAATGGGGAACAAAGAAATGGCAGATGAACTGAATAGGTGCTTTGCATCAGTCTTCACAATGGAAGACATGAGCAACATACATACCAGAACTTCAACAGCGTAAGGGCAAGGAGGTAAGTGTAATGGCCATCAGCAAGGAGAAGGTGATGGGGAAGCCGAAATGTTTAAAGTTGGATAAATCACCCAGACCAGATGGACTGCATCCTAGAATTCTGAAGGAAGGCCTTTGACCGTGCCGCATAGGAAGCTGCTAGATAAGGTAAGATTTTCAGTGCAGGGTACAGGCATGGATAGAAAATTGGCTGACTGGCAGAAGGCAAAGAGTGGGGTTAAGGGAGTCTTTTTCAGGATGGCAGTCTGTGATTACTGGAGTCCCGCAGGGGTCAGTATTCAGATTACAATTATTCATATTATAAATTAACAATCTAGATGAAGGAACTGAGGGCATTGTTGTTAAATTTGCATATTACACAAAGATATGAGGAGGACAGATAGTTTTGAGGAGGTGGGAGGTGCAGAAATGACTTGAACAGGCTAGGAGAGTGGGTGGAAACCGCAGATTGAATATAATATGGGAAAGCGTGAGGTTATGCGTTTTGGTAGGAAGAAAGGAGCTTATTATAACTATTTTCTAAATGGGGAATGGCTCCAGAAATCTGAAGTACAAAAGGAATTGAGAGTCTTAGTTCAGGGCTCTCTTGAGGTTAACATGCAGGTTCAGCTGGTAGGTAGGAAGGCAAATGTAACGTCAGCATTCCATTTCAATCAAGCTATAATATAAGAGGACAGACATACTCTGCTTTCGTGCAGCATGCTGTCTCTCAGTGCTAGGAAGCTGGGTTAAATTACAACATGGGCAACTGTCTGTGCAGAGTTTGCATGTTCTCCCCGTGTCTGTGTGGGTTTCCTCCAGGTGCTCCTCCCACAGTCCAAAGATTTACAGGGTTGGTAGATTGGCCATGATAAACTGCCTTAGTGTCCAGGGGGATTAGCTATGATTAATGTAAGGTTATGGGGATAGGATGAGAGGGCTTGGTGGGGGGTGGGTTTGGGTTTGGATGGGAATCTCTTCAGAGGGTTGGTGGGAACTCAATGGGGCAAATGGCCTCTTTCTGCACTGTAGTGATTCTATAATTCTATGAACTGCTGAGTGTGATGATACCATGGCTTTAAGAGATTTATTTTGATTTTGTTTTAAAATGAAGAGAGGTTACGAGTGGTCTGTTCCAAGCCAATAAAGCAAAACAGCTTGAAGGGCATTGGGTCTTTTTTTAAATATGTTGGAACAATAAAAGCAGCATGAATAGGTAGAGCCAGGCTCCCAGAGAACTAGGGATTTAGTTTAGCTTTCAGCAGTTGCTGGGGTTTTTGAAGCCGATTGTCAAAGGTGCTATATCTTTCTCTCTGTTACAGCTAAAAGCCTGGGGTCTCTTTCTGCTGCCAGAATTGCGTATGAAACAATCAGTTTTACTGAATTTGCTTTGCCAAGAGTATGTTTATGGGATCAAACTGTATTGGAACAGTTGCTGTTTAGTAGTTAAATAATCTATTATTCCGTTAAGTTTTCCCAATACAGTTAAAGTTAGACCAATTCGTTTGTATTTTTTAACTATGAGTAAGAATGAAGTTTGTGTATGACCAAACGAATTACATCTGGAACATAGCACATTACACTTAGGGTCATAGAGGTGTAGAACATGGAAACTGGCCTTCTCTCCTATTCTGCACCTCCTTCTCCATCGTTGATTATTTGCTCTCTCATTTGCCCTCTCTCCATTCCCCCACTCCAACGTTGTCTTGTCAGTGAACCTGGAGACATTCCCAACTTCACCCTGCCAACCAAATATCCTAAATTAAACTAGTCCCATTTGCCAGCATTTGGGCCCATTTCCCTCTAAATTCTTCCTATTCATATACCCATGCAGATGCCTTTTCAATGTTGTATTTGTACCCACCCCTACCACTTCCTCTGGCAGCTCATTCCATAACGTATCAGCCTCTGCATGAAAACATTGCCCCTTAGGTGTCTTTTAAATCTTTACCCATTCCCCTTAAACTTATGTCCTCTAGTTATGGACTCCCCTACACTGTGGAAAAGACCTTGACTATTCACCCTACCCATGCCTCTCATGATTTTATGAACTTCTATGAGGTAATCCCTCAGCCTCCGATGCTCCAGAGAAAATAACCCCAGCCTATTCAGCTTCTTCCTACAGCTCAAACCCTCCAACCCTGACAACATCAGCATTGTAAATCTTTTCTGAACTCTTCCAAGTTTCACACATCTTAAATCAGAAAATGTTATGGTCTAGGCTATCTCCTTGATATATTTCAAGAGGATTTAGTCTGGTCCATAACATGAGACTGTGTAAGACCACGGTCACACTGCATTTGTTATATTGTGAGCAGTTTAGTCCCCATATCTAATGAAGGATGTGCTGATGTTGGAAGAGGTCAAGCGGAGGTTTACAAGAATGATCTGAAGGATGAGGGCTTCTCGTATGAGGAGTCATTGAGAACTCTGGGTCTATACTCAATGGAGATCAGACGGATTAGGGTGGAATCTGATTGAAACTTACTGAAAACCGAGGGGTCTGGATAGAGTGGATGTGGAGAAGATATTTCCACTGGAGGAAAGGTTAGAACCTGAGAGCACAGCCTCTGAGTGACAAGACAGTTCTTTAGAACTAAGGTTAGGAAGAATTTCTTCAGCCAGAGTATGGCTAATCTGTGGAAATTGTTTCCACAGAAGGCTGTGTAAGCCAAGTCATTGAGTGTATTTAAGACAGATAGGATCTTGATTGGTGTGGGGGTCAAGGGTTACGGAGAAAATAGCGTTGAAAAACATTTCAGCCATGATGAAATGGCAGAGCAGACCTGACGGGCTGCATGGCCGATTTCAGCTCTTATACCTTATGGTAAACAATAGTGCATATAGAGCCTAGAGAGACAGAACAACAGTTGGGCAGACAAAGTGATGGATCATGATGAGCTGGGGCAAAAGAAAAGCTGTAAATGGAGTCCAGTGGCAGGTGAAAATGCATAGGCTCTGCTGAAAGCAGCAAAATCATGACAGGGCTTGGGGAATGGGGAAGGATAAAGCGCATGGAAGTAGATGCTCAGGTCCTAAAATTATTAAACTCAATATTGAATCCTGAAGGCTGCAGGTTCCCCAAGCAGAAAAGAAGATGCATCTGTGAAGGGAACCTGCATTCCATTTTCCTTTTGGGGACCCTGCAGCCTTCAGGACACAATACCGTTTTTAAGAGGCTGAGCACCTTCTTTCATGACACTTCCCCCACACCCACACACCAGGCCTTGTCAGGACATGGGCTGCTTTCAGCAGATCCAACGCATTTTCCCCACTAATGGTTCCCATTAGCAGATTTTTTTCCTCACCTGACTCACCATTTTCCATCCCCTTGTCTCCATCTTCACCTACAGTTTGCTCCTTCTCCTTCATCTTCAGTATCTGTACCACCTGCTGCTACAATTCTCAACAATTTATTGCTACGATTTTGTACTTTAAGATCTTATTGCTGTACGTTTTATTTATTTTTCTAATTTTTTTCCTAAGAATTTGCACTCAAGTATCTGAACCTAGTTATCTTTGTACCCAAGATGGCGCCATATGAGGCAACTTGTAAACTTTTCACTGTACTCGTATAAGTACATGTGACAGTACAACTAATTCATTCATTTTCTGTTCGGAGTTCCAGGATACTGTACATGTGCCATGCGCACATTGCCCACATTAAGATGGCGGCCACGCATGCGCGCTACCTCAGACAAGAAGGTGGCGGTTAAACCAGGGCCTGTCGGTGAAGAGACCGCCAATACGCTGGAGGTTTCCACCAAACACGCGACCAGTATCTCGTCGCTTTAGTTTTGAGACCTACCTAGGATAGATTTCTCAGCCACCTACCGCTGGACAGGGATTCTTCCACAGCCTTTCTTCGACAGACGCAAAAAAAGGATCCACTTCTCGAGACCGACGTTCACACTGCGCCTGCTCCTGACGTCGACTGCCTTTGCTTCTGCGCACTGGTGTTCTGGTGCCGTAGTGCTCTGCGCATGCTCTTCCACCCCTGGGCCGCGAGGAATGACCGCCGTTCTAGGCCAATAGGAAAAGAGAGCGGGGTTTGAGCGGGAGCTCTTGGTCCAAAATAATATTTCAAGACTCATTCCGTTCAGAGCGGCCTCCACAGGTAGATAAGTTGTTAAAAAGTATTTATAAGAGGGGTATTGCTGAATAGGCACCAACAAGGAGAGAGGTGTAAATATATAAATTGCATTCCTCCTTAGTAGAGAGGATGCTGCTGCCCGTGCGTTGAGAAAATATTAGTGTTCAAAATTAATAAGGAAGAAATCTTGGATAGACTTTTGGTACTTTAACCTGCGAAGGCACTGGGACCGGATGAAATGCTTCCAGAAGGGAGAGTAGAAATTGTGTGGGTGCTGACCATGATCTTTGAACCTTCCCTGTCATTACAGATACTTAGTTGAGAGAGGTACAGTACTGGCTGCTCACTGTTTCAGGGTTTCGTTGTTTTAGACGAAATAGCGAAGAAGGTAAAAGAGGTGGAGCAATTGCATTACCAATCAGGGTGAATGTCACATCTGCACTGAGACGACATATTGGAGGGTTCATCGGGGCTGCACGGTGGCCCTCAGTGGCTAGCACTGCAGCAACACAGAGCCAGGAACCCGGGTTCAATTACAGCCTTGTGCGAATGCCTGTGTGGAGTTTGCACGTTCTCCCGTGCATGCGTAGATTTCCTCCCACAGTACAAAGATGTGCAGGTTAGGTGGATTGGCTATGTTAAATTGCCCATAGTGGGTGGGTCTGGTTGGGATGCTGTTTGGAGGGTCAGTGTAGACTCGATACACTGAATGGCCTGCTTCCACACTGGGGATTCAATGGATCCACTGAGGCAATATGGGTAGAGTTTAAAAATATGATGAGTGCAATTATTCTGATAGGATTATATTATAGCCCAACAGCCATTGAGGCATCAAGGAACAAATATGTAGTCAGATTCTGGAAAGATGCAATAACAACAGGGCTATCATAGTGGCTGACTTTAACTTCCCCAATATTGACTGGGACTCCCTTACAGCAAGAGGCTTAGCCGGGGCAGAATTTGTTAAGTGCATCATCAGTATGTGGATAGCCCAACTAGATGAAGGGCCATATTGGACCTTGTATTGGCTAATTAGCCTGACTGACCTTTCAGTGGGAGAGCATTTTGCAAACAGTGATCACAACTCCTTAAATTTTGAGATAGCTACGAATAAGGGTAACTCAGGACCTGGCGTGAAGGTACTAAATTGGGGGAGGGCAAATTACATGAGTATTAGGCAGGAGCTAGGGTGTGTTAATTGGGAGGAACTGTTATCGGGCAAGTCCAAATTTGACACGTGGGAGTTGTTTAAAGAACTGCTGATGGGAGTTCAGGACTGGCATGTTCCAGTAAAGATGTTGAACAAGGATAGTGAAGGAGTTTGTGGATTTAGTCAAAAGGAAAAATGCAGCATACGTAAGGTTCAGGAAGCTGAAATTGGACAGGGCCTGTGAGGAACGTAAAGAAAGCAGAAAAGAATTTAAGCAGGGAATTAGGAGAGCAAGAAGTTGCCATGAAATGACCTTGGCAAGTCGGGTTAAAGAGAATTCTAAATCATTCTATACATACATTAAAAATAAAAGGATAATTAGGGAAAAGGTATGACGACTCAAGGATAAAGGAAGGAACTTGTGCTCGGAGATGGAGGATGTAGGCAAGATCCTAAGTGAGTACTTTGCATTGGTATTTGCCTGAGAGATGTATATGGAGGGTAGTGAGATTTGTGTGGAGCATGCTAATATGCTAGGGCATTTTGAGATCAAGAAAGAAGTGGCGTTGGGTCTCTTGAAGAGCATTAATGTGGATAAGTCCCCAGGGCCCAATGGTATCTACCCCAGGTTATTTAGTGAGGCAAGAGAGAAATTGCTGGGGCCTTGACCGAGATCTTTGTATGCTCGTTAGCCACTGGAGGGGTCCCGGAGGACTGGTGAGTAGCTAATGCTGTTCGTCTGTTAACAGAGGGCAACAGGGATAATCCAGCAACCTGTAGACCAGTGAGTGTTGCATCGGTTGTTGGGAAGCTATTGGAGAGAATTCTTAGGGATAGGATTTACGTGCATTTGGAAAAGCATGCCACGATTAAGGCATGTCAGCATGGCTTTGTGCAGGACAGGTCATGTCTTACTAACTTGATTTAATTTTTCAAAGAGGTTACAAAAATGATCGATGAGGGTAGAGCAATGGATGTTGACTACATGGATTTTAGTAAGGTTTTTGACAAGCTCCCTCATGGTGTGCTCATCCTGAAGATTAAGATGCATGGGATCCACAGTGATTGGCTGCATGGTTTCAGAATTGGCTTGCCTATAGAAGGCATAGGGTAGTGGTGGAAGGGATTTTTTCTAGCTAGAGGGTTGTGACTAGTGGTGTTTCGTAGGGATCCATACTGGGACCTCTGCTGTTTGTGACATATGTAAATGGCTTGGATGGAAATGTAGTTGGGTGGGTTAGTAAGTTTACAGACAATACAAAGATTGGTGGAGTTGTGGATAGTGTAGAAGGTTGTCAAAGGATATAGCAGGATATTGATCAGTTGCTGATATGGGCGGAGCAAAGGCAGATGGAGTTTAATCCGGGTAAATGTGAGGTGCTGCACTTTGGGAGTTAAAATATTAAGGAAAAGTATACAGTTAATGGCAGGACTCTGAACAGCATTGACGTACAGTGAGATCTTGGGGTTCAAGTCCACAGCTCCCGAAAGTGGTCACGGAAGTAGATAGGATGGTAAAGAAGGCGTATGGCATGCTTGCCTTTATTGATCAGGGATTTAAGTGCAAGAGTCAGGACGTCATATTGCAGCTTTATAAGACTTTGGTTAGGCCACACTTAGAGTATTGTGTTCGTTTCTGGTTGCCACAGAAGGATGGAGAGGGTGCAGGAGAGGTTTACCAGAATGCTGCTAGGATTAGAGGGTATAAGCTACAAGGGAGGCAAGAAAAACTCGGGTTGTTTTCTTTGGAGCTGCGGAGGCTGAGGGGAGAATTGATAGAAGTCTATAAAATTATGAAATGCATAGACAGGGTTGACGGTCAGTATCTTTTTCCCAGCGTTGAAATGTTTAATATTAGGGAGCATACATTTAACGCAAGAGGGGGAAATTCAAAGGAGATGTGAAGGGCAAGTTTTTAACACAGAAAGTGGCAGGAGTGTGGAACGTGCTGCCAGGGTGATGGTGGAGGCAGATACGATGGGGCGTTTAAGGGACTTTTAGATAAGCACACAAATATGCAAGGATAGATGGATATGGACCATGGGCAGGCAGAAGGAATTAGTTTAATTTGATGTTGTGTTCGGCATAACATTGTGGGCTGAAGGGCCTGTTCCTGTGCTAAACAGTTCTAAGTTCTATGTTCTAGATTCGGTCGAAGTGCCACAAGAGTGAAGAATTGCAGAAGTTAGAAGGATGATCCCAACAGATCAGTCAGATTCAGTTTGTTGATGGGATCCTTCTGGAAATAATTCATTGTAGAATGAGCAGTAATGTAGGAAAAGGTGGATTCATTCAGAAGAGTCAGCATGGATTTCTAAAGTGGAAGTCATGTTTAATTAACTTACTAGAAGTTTTTGAAGAGGTAACAGAAAAGTTCAAAGATGTTGATGTGGTATACATGAATTTCCAGAAGGTGTTTGATACAGTACCACACAACAGATTTGTGAGGAAAGTTGGGACAGTTGCAAAGTGGATAGAAATTCAACTGAGTGATAGGAAACAATAATGGTCAATGGATACTTTTCAGGCTGCAAGAAGGTTTATAGTGGAATTCTTCAAGAGTCAACATTGGGACTCATTCTTTACCTGATGCATTTTAATGATCTGTATCTTGGTGTGCAGGGGACAATTTCAAAGTTATCAGATGACACAAAACTTGGAAGAACTGTAAACTGAGGGCGGCAACGTGGAATTCCAAAACTATATTGACAGGTTGGAGTGGGCAGATAGGTGGTAGATGAGATTCAATGCAGAGAAGTTTGAGGTGATGAACTTTGGTAGAAAAAATTAAAACACAATTTAAAATAGGGCTACAAATCTAAAGGCGATGCAGAGCACAGGGACATGGGTATATATATGTACAGCTTATTGAAAGACAGGTGGAGAGAGCAGTTGATAAAGTATACACTGTCCTCGGCTTATTAAGAGGAGTAGAGAATACAGCTGCGAGTAGGTGATGAAGAAATCTTAACTCTGTTTCTCTCTTTACAGATGCTGCCAGATCTGCTGAGTTTCTCCAGCATTCTCTGTCTTTATTTCAGATTTCCAGCAAAGTAATGTTGAACTTCTGTAAGACGCTTGCTAGACTTCTGCTGGAGTATTGTGTACTGTTGTGGGTGCACATTAAAGGAAAAATGTGAATGCATTAGAGAGGTGTGCACATTGACAGTTCACAGCTGTTTACTTATAGATAGAATGTACTTATTTGTAATAAACAGTTGTTCTTGTTAATTTCAGAAACCTGATCAATGTTTTCTATTAACAAAGTATGGAGCTGGAGGAACACAGCATATTTTCTGAAGTAGGGTCCTGACCCAAAACATCAGCTTTCCTGCTCCTCTGATGCTGCCTGGCCTGCTGTGTTCCTCCAGCTCCATACTTTGTTATCTCTGACTCCAGCATCTGCAGTTCTTGCTATCTCAATGTTTTCTATTAACCTGATTCCACAGGACACATATATTGGGGAGTTTGCATATTTTGATTAAATCTTTAACTTTTGTGACTAACTTCGGATTAGTGTGGCTCAGGCATCATTGCATTTTCCCAAGTGGGTCATAATGTATCCAATAAATGTCTCAAGATTTTACAAGATGTTATGAGCGTAGCAACAAATAGAATTTTGTTAGGATCTGGCCTCCCAGAACCATTTAAAGAATATAATATCAAAGGTAAGAAAATAAGTGGCAGGATTCCATGTTTAAACTGAAACATCAAATACATATTTACTATGTAAACTTGAACA